TCCTCCCTGCCCCTTTCTAAGTCCACTGATAGGGGAGGACCTCCTCCCCTTTCATCTGACCCTGTTTTATCAGGTATCTTCAGGGCTGGCTGCAAAGTCCTCCTCCACACAGAACCTTCTAAAGTGAAAGAAAAGTTACAGTTTCTGGATTCTCCTACCACCAAGAAAGAAGAACAATGCTTAATGAGCCAATTTGGATTTTGGTGACAAACATTCCTCAATGTTATTGCTGCCCATATACCAAGTGACTTTGAAAGCTGCTAGCTTTGAGTGGGGCCTGAAACAGGAGGCTGCTGTGCAGACTACTCTAATACATGGACCATGTCATCCAGCAGACCCAATGGTAACTAGGTGTCAGTGACATATAGATAAGCTCTTTGGAGCTTTTGGATAGCCCCTGAAAGTAAACGAAAGATGAGACCCTTGGGAGTTTGAACCAAGTGTTTATCATCATCTGCAGACCTCTATACTCCCTATGAGAGACAAAGCTCAGTCTGCTATTAGACATTAGTGAAAATTTGATATCGGACAATATTTGGCCACCAAATTACCACATGACTTGATCTGTCCATCATGAGCTATGTTTTATTCGTCAGACTATGCCATAAAGTAGGATGTGCACATCAGCAAATGGAAGTACTATATAAGTGATTCAACCCGAGCAGGCCCTTGAGGGTACAAGCAAGTCACATGAGGAAGTTGCCCAAATACTTTTGGTTGCCTTCTGCTCCCAAGCATGAACCTATAGGGTCATGAGATGTTGACTGTGACCAAATGAATGATGATGAGAAGACTAGGGCATAGTTTGTTGATGGTTCTACATATTCTTCAGGCACTCACCCAGCTGTATCTGGATAGTGCCAGCATTACAAAACCTTTCTGGAACAATCCTGAAAGACACATGAACAGCTGAACTTTGGGCAATACACTTGATTGTACATTTTGTTTAGAAGGAGAAATTGCCAAATTGTGATGTTTTGCTGATTCATTTGCATGATTCCCATGTAGCCAATGGACTGGCTGGATGCTCAGGGACTTGAAAAGAGCACGATTAAAAAATTGGTGAGAGTGCTGTAGCTGCATCTTGAGGAATCACTATTCCTAATTGTCTGAGAAAACACCAGACTGATTTCTGAAGTGGTTGTACAAGTTTACATTCCCACCAGCAATGGAGGAGGGTTCCCTTTCCTCCACATCCTCTGGAGCATGTGTTGTCACTTTCGATCTTAGTGTACCCCATTTTTTTTTGGATTACTTGATTTGTTGTTATTTAACTTCTTGAGTTATTTATATATTATGGATATTAGTCCTCTGTCAGACATAAGGTGGGTGAAGATCCTTTCCCAGTCTGTAGCCTGTCATTTTGTTCTGACGACAGTGTCTTTTGCTTTGCAGAAACTTTTCAGTTTTATGAGGTCCCATTTATTGATTGTTATCTTAGAGCCTGTGCTGCTCCTGGGCATATATCCAAAATATACTCAAGTATACAACAAGGACATTTGATCAACCATGTTCATAGCAGCTTTGTTTGTAATAGCCAGAATCTGGAAACAACCCAGCTCCCCCTCAACTGATGAATGGATACAGAAATATTGTTACATTTACACAATGGAATACTACTCAGCAATTAAAAACAAGGAGATCATGAAATATGCAGGCAAATGGTGGGAACTAGAGAAGATCCTCCTGAGTGAGGTATCCCAGAAGCAGAAAGACACACATGATATATACTCACATATAAGTGCATATTAGACCTATAATATAGTCTGAACCATAGTTTTTGTGCAAGATGATAGATAAGGATCTAATTTTGTTCCTCTGCAAATGGACAGCCTGTTTTCCCAGCACCATTTGTTTAAGATGCTTTCTTTTCCCCAGTTTTTGGCTTCTTTGTCAAATATTATGTGACTGACATGACTGAAATTACTCATGTTTGGGTCTTGCTCCACTGGTCTATGTCTTTTTTTTTTTTTTTGTCAGTACTATGTTACTTTATTATTATGAGTCTGTAATATAAGGTCTGGAATGGTAATCCCTCCAGCATTGTTATTTATGAGGAAAACTGTTTTGGCTACCTGGTGTCTTTTGTGGTTCCATGTAAATTAAAAAAAAAAAAATTCCGGTTTCTGTGTGAATGAGATAGGGATTTTGGTTGGGATATCATGGCATTTGTAAATAGCTTCTGATAAAATGGTTATTGTTGTAATGTAAATTCTACCAATCCATATGCATGAGATGTCCTTTTTTATCATTTTTTTTCAGAGGTTTAAGTTTTCATTGTAGAAGTCCTTCACTTTCTTGATTAGTTTCATTTCCAGACATGTTATTTTCTTCGAGGTTATTGTGTCCATCATTTCCTGTTCTGTGCTTGTTCTTGGTATATAGAAAAGCTACTGACCTGTGCAAGTTGGCTCTGATTCTTGCTACACTGGTTAAGTTTATCATTTTTCTTTTTCTGGTAGAATGTTTGGGGTATTACATCATTTGCAAATGCGGATAGTTTGATTTCTTTCCCTACTTGCATACCTTTAATTTCCTTCTCTTGCCTTATTGCTTCCACCAATATTTCAAGTACAATATTGAAAAGAAATGGAGATAGTGAACAGCTCTGTCTTGTTTCTTAAGTTGGTGAAATTACTTCAAAAATTTTCTCCATTTAGAATGACTCTGGCTGTCTGCTTTTCAACTATAGCTTTTATTACTATTATGTTGATATATATTCCCTTCAGCCCTTCATTCTCAAGAACGTTTATCATGAAGGCATGGTGGATTCTATTAAAGCCTTTTGCAGAACCTAATGAGATGATCATGTGATTTTTGTCTTTATGTCCATTTATGAGGTTTATTACCACTATTGTTTTGCATATGCTAAGTCATCCCTGCACATCAGTCCTAGATTGCCTTCCTCATTTCTACCAATCCTTGGGGTGGGGGTGTCACTCAGGCATATATTCTCAAGTTCTCCTTAATTTCACTGAGCTGTTTCCTTACATTTATATAAGATATCTTGAATACTTTGGTGAAGTTTATGATTGTTATTTCAAAATCTATGTTCTAGTATTTATCTAGGCAATTATCAATAGAAAATATTTCCACAGGACTGATTGGCTTTTGGGAGAAGAGACAGGATTGATCTTTCATATTGTTGATATTTTTATCATTTGTGATGAGATCCGGAATGTGGACTTCTTTTGTTTGTATGGGTAGGCTGAGCCTAGAGGCTCGAAGTGGCTTGTGTGCAATGAAGTTAGACACAGGGATTGAGCAGAATGTGCCTCCTGGTCAAAGCCTAAAGTGTGGGGGTGGATCTGTCTGGGTGGAAAGGTTGGATGTGGTGTGAGAAAGGTCTGTGGGTTGGGGGACAGGTAAGGAGGACTCTGGCAGAAACCTAGAGTCAGGTTATGGGATAGGCAGGCAGGCCAGGCTAGGGCAGAATACTAGCTGTGGGACAGAAGCTAAATATGGTGTGTCAGGGAGACTCCTGGAGCTACACCATGGAGGATGTGAGAGATCTAGCTTAATGGAGAGGTTGGGTAAAGCAGAGATCTATGGGTGATGGCAGGTAGTGCAGGTCCTAGTGGATCCCTACTTTGATGAAAATGAAAATGGCCACGAAGGCTCATAGAGAATGACTTCATTTATAGGAGGTGTAGTCTTGTTGGAGAAGGCATGTTGCTGAGGGCACACTTTGAGATCTCAGATGCTCAAGCCTGGCCAGTGTGGCAGGAGTAGAATCCTTAGCTCCTTCTCCAGCACATTTCTACCTGCATGCTCCATGCTTTTTGCTATGAAGATGTTCTAAACCTCTGGAACTATGAGCCAGCCTCAACTAAATGTTTTCCTTTATAAGATTTGCTGTGGTCATAGTGTCTCTTCACAGTAATAAAATCCTAAGACACCTACCTAGAGGTACGTTGTGGTAGAAGCAAGTGGTGGTAAGACTAGACCCAGGCACTGGATATGATGCTTCTTTTCCCCAACTTAATATTTATTATTGATTTATCTTTTAAACAGCGGTTATTCCTAAATCACCAGAGACTAGGATTTATTTAATTAGCCTAGAGCACAATGCTGGGCAATAATTACTCCATCCTAAACCTCTAAGCTGCATAGCTTCCTCCTTTCAGATTTCCCACATTATACTTGCTTTCTAGTCATATCTTAGATCTTGTTCATCTCTCCTGGTCTTTCCAGGTCCTTTCCTCTCAGATCTCTCTTCCTAGACCTTCCTCCCACTTGCTTCTTTCTCCTCCCCTCTGGACCAGGAAGTCCCATCCAATTCTCTCCATTGCTCAGCACTGGCTGGTTGTTTTATTGGCAATACAGAGAACAAATGGTAGCATGTTTACACAAACTTGAGACAGGTGATGCTTAAAATAAGCATCATATGCAATGTCCAGATTGATACCAGATTGTTGGGTAGAGAAATCAGTATTTGAATGAACAAGGGTAAATTGTACACATTCCACAAGAAGATTATACCAACAGTAGTGTAGAGTAACTTTTCCTTTTTATTAATTGCATCTACTTTTGTTTACTGATTTTGCAATCTTACTTAGGAATACTAATCTTTATTTTATTTATTACCTATTATAACATTTATTTATCTATTGTGTATAGGTGAATGCATATGGAGGTCAGAAGATAACTGGTAGGAGTCTTTTCTTTCATTCTACTATGTGGGTCCTACGTATTGAACTCAGGTAATCAGGCTTGGCAGCAAGTGATTTTATCACACTGAGCAATGTCATCAGCCATTAACCTTTATTTTATAAAAAATAAAATGGTAGTATATTTGCAACAAATACCTCTCTGACACTGGTAACTAAAAATCTAATCTCAGAGACCAGACTTTAAGAAATTATTGTAAGCACATATGATAGTTCTGTTAGTATTTGTGTGGCTAGAATCAAATAAATACCCACTGATTTGTGTGTGTGTGTGTGTGTGTGTGTGTGTGTGTGTGTGTGTGCAAAGTTTAAGCCATTAAAGGACTCAGATGAATTCAGGAAGGCTTGTATTTACAGAGGAGATTCCAATACAACATAACAATAACAAATTTTTAAGCACTATAAGAAATGCATTAATAGAGTAACACTTCAACTTTAAGCCCTGATTCTAAATGATCAACTGAACAATGGTGATTATTGTGGGTCATGGAAAATGTCCCTCATAAAAGTGCTCCTAACAAAAGATGCTTTAAAAATGACTTACAAAATGTTTAAGGCCAGTTATACAGACTACTTGATGTATTTCAGGCTGTTTTTCTTCGATGAAGTAGTAAACACAAAATAGTATTATCCTTTGGTTTTATTTTCTGGGAATTACAAAAAAAGTCTAGGCATAAATGTTTTTACACAGTCTTCTTAATTTCATCCTTTAAAAAAACCTTATCAAATGGCTTATTACATTTCTCCTCATTATCATCCTTCATTAATGTCACTGTCAGACTTGATCATTAATTTCACTGTCAGACTTGATTAACTGATTTAATTTTTCACAGTAAAATAAGCAACACTTGTGCATCTTTCCTCAGTCCCTGAGAATCATAATCGTCACAGAAGTATTTTATTCCTTCATTGAAAATCTCTGGAAAGCAATGGTGTTCTTTCATTGGTAACAGGGCAAGGAGCAGTGTCATAGAGGGTTAATCCATGTAAATTGGCTTCCACTCGTAAAGTAATTTTCTGGAACAAAAAAGAAAATTATACAGAGATGTTGAGTCTACATGAGAGACTATCTCTTCACTATGCTCTACAGGAGTTGCTCATGTAGTCAGAAATACAAACTGATCTACTGGGGAACAGAAGTCACTGCTACAGGCATCATCCTGAATGCCAAGTAAAATAGAAAAATGATGTTCTTCCCTCAGTAAGTTTCCTGGGCTTTAGATGTCCCTCAACCAAAAGATGGATAAAGAAAATGTGTTACATTTACACAGTGGAATACTATTCAGCTACTAAATACAAACACATCATTCAATGTGCACGCGAACAGATGGAACTAGAAAAGATCATCCTGAGTGAAGTAACCCAGACCCAGAAAGACATGCAGGGTCTTATACTCACTTATAAGTGGATACTAGCCATAAAGTACACAATAACCATGCCATAATGCACAGACCAAAAGAAGCCGAGGAGAGTGCAAGGGAGGATGAGGATGTCTGAATCTCACTCAGGAAGGGAAATAAACATATATCTTAAGTAGACAGAGGGAGGGAACAAGATGGGAGGGGAGTGGGGACAGAAACAGGGTTGGGGATCAGTTGTGAGGAAAGGACTGGGAGAGAGAACAGAAATTGGTAGGGGGCATTTCTAGGATAGGGGCGGGGGGAATCCCTGCAGTCTGTGGGGGTAACCCTAGCTGAGACTCCTAGCATAAAGGGATATGGGGCCTGAAGTTTTCACCTCTTGTAGCCAGATAGGACTTCCAGTGGAGGGACACCAACCTACTCATAAAACCTTCAACCCAAAATTTGTCCTGCCTACAAGAAGTGTAGGGATAAAGACGGAACAGATATTGAGAGAAGAGCCAACCAATGACTAGCCCAACCTGAAACCCACCCCATGGGAGAAAACCAACCCCTGACACTATAAATGATACTCTGCTTTGATTGCAGACAGGAACCTGGCATAACTGTCTTCTGAGAGGCTCTATCCAGCAGCTGATGGAAACAGATGCAGAGACCCACAGCCAAACAATTGCTGGAGTTTGGGGAGTCTTGTGGAAGAGTGAGAGGAAGAACTAAGGGAACCAGAGGGGTCAAGGACATCATAGGAAGACCTACAGAGTATTGGAAGCTGACAGAGACTGATCCACATTCAAAGAGCATGCATGGGCCGGGCCTAGGCCTCCTACACATATGTAGCAGATGTGCAGCTTGGTCATCATGTGGGTCCCCTAAAATGGGTATAGAGACTGTCTCTGACTCTGTTGCCTGCTTTTGGATCCCTTTCCCCCAGCTGGGCTACCTTGTCTGGGCAGTGGGAAAGGATGTGCTTAGTCCTGCAGAACTTGATGGGCCAAGGTGGGTTGGTACCACTCTCTAAAGAGAAGGAAGGATGGGGGAAGGGGTGTGAGGGTGGGACTGGGAAGAGAGAAGGAAGGGGTCAAAGGCTGTGAAGTACTTAAAAAAAGTTTCCTGTTGTGTGTGTGTGTTTTTTTGTTTTGTTTTGTTTTTTGTAGTTTTCTGTTCATTTGTTTGTTTTAAGCTCTGTGTTAGGGCTGGGGCTATGTGAGTGGGTACAACTATGGAAGTCTATCTAACAGTTTCTTCACATATGTTCTGCAATTCCATTATCAAGGCTGAACCTTACTTACAGCACACTACTTCCTCAAATCCAGAAACAATTTTACCAGAAGTTACTCTTCTTGCATCACTCTTTCTGGTGCCAGATTTTGAAGTGTTAATTTTAAAAACGGATAGTGAATCTGCCAATGAAATATTCTGCTATTCCACATGAAGGAAGCTTTAAAGAATAAAACTGAAACTAATTTCTTACCTGAAAATCACGAATATAAGTCAGGAAAAATCCAAAGAAGGAAAATGACATAGACCACTCTGCTGCTGTAGTGACCATATGAAGCACATAACCCTGTGGTCAAAGAGGACAGAATGGCATTTCTGTGAAGTTTTAGAAAAAATATACAGCGCTTCTCAAACTAAGAAATATCAAGTTCTCTTAGACCAATCACCCTTCTGAAAAAGCAACCTCTGATTTTTGAAAATGTCTTGAGAATTACACTATGAGTCCCTTCTGAGCCATACTAGAGGTCTTCATTTCACATAGAACCAGTAAACTTTCCACTAAATAACAAAGACAAAATAAAACCTACACTCTACAACCAAGGAGCTATAGCTTTCCTCCAGCCAGAGTAATAAATCAGATCCTATAATCCTTACACTTAGGGGGCTGAGGGAAGATCACAATTTAATGCCAATCACACCACAGAGTGAAATGAAAACATAGGCCCACCCATGTATACACACACACACACACACACACACACACACACACACACACACACACA